GCGAGGGAAGATGTCGGGCGGCGACGCGAAGAAGCTGGTGCGCTCCCCCAGCGGGCTGCGCATGGTGCCCGAGCACCGCGCCGCCCGCAGCCCCTTCGGCCTCGACGAGCCGCCCTGGGTGCCCGACAAAGAGGTACCGCCGGGGGCAGGGGCCCCGCGCTGCCCTTTCCCTCCTTCCTTCCCCTCTTCCCTTCCCCTTCGGTTTTTTATTTCCCTTAGGTTGATGGGTTCAAGAACGCGAGGATCGGGCTGTGCGGCCCCGTCGCGAAAATCTGCGAGCGATTTGGTGATTAGAAGTGTAGCGAAGTGTGCATCGTCGCTTTGAATGCCTATAAAGGCGGTTCTGGAGGCCGTGCAGGCTTAAAACTAATTGCACAGATTATTAAAGCAATAAGGCTGAGTTAGAACAGCCCTGCTGGCTCCTGGTGTGAATGTTCCTAGTGCTAAACAGTCATTGAACAACTCGGTCTGTTTCAGTCAACTTTGCTTTTCAATACTTGCCAAGTAAACAACGAGATGGTGATATTTTCAATTTCATGTAATGAGAGTTATTTGTTGCCAGTCGCTGCAGCCAGATGCACATACAACATAGAATCCATTGTTTGTTTATTTATTTATTGCCAGCGTTCTGTGGTGTGGACACACGCCAGTGCATTTAAATGTGACCGGAATGAAGATATATTTTAGATGAGCCAATGTGAATGTAAGCGGGAGTCACCCAACAAAGCCGCTCTTGGTTTGTTTTGTATGGGAACACCGAGTCTTGGTTAGGAATGAAGAAGAGAATTTTTTCCTCGGTATCTCTTGAGGTAGAAAGAGACATTACGCATTATTTTCTGTGTAAAATAATGATATGCCAGCAGAGTTTCTGCAGCTCAGGCCGGTCTCTGCTGCTGTAAAGGGTGGGAGCCGTAAATCACTTGACGGCTTGCCCAAAGCAGCCCTTTTTTGGGAAGTGAGTGTTCAGCTCATGCTGAACGAGCGATCTGCTGCAGTATCTGGTGGGAATTTTCCCAGGTTAGTCTCGCCCATAGGTAGAAAAGCCTCCCGACCCTCAGCAGCGGCTGTTCCCTGCCTTACCCGGGCGTGGGGAAGGGAAATTCCCCGCAGTGACCTCCCCCTCTGTGTCCGACCTGTGAGCCCGGAGCACAGGCCGGGCAGCCCTCGGCCAGAGGCTTCCCTTGTGCTGCTGCATCCCCTGCACTCCCCTGGAAACCTGATTCTGGCATCCTCTTCACCAGGGGGTATCGTTTGTGTAACAGCTCAGTTGGAATTAGTTTTGTCCCTGACCTTCGGAAGTGCAGTTTAGTCAGAGGTCTGTGATTTTAGCAGGCTGGTTTCATTAAGGAAAACAAAGTACCTCTAACGCAATTCTACTATGTACAACCATCCTAATTCAACTAAAGATTGTTTGGGGATTGTGATAGGATTTATTTAAACTAGTTAGAAGTATTTAGAGAATTAAGTCTGCATATTTTATATACATCTGTGTGATGTATGTTGTTAGTTTGAATTTCATATAACAGTTCTATTGTAGGTATTCATTCTTAAAATTCAACTTTTCCCCTGTAGTCTGCTGGTCTATAGGCCCAGGCTTTTGAATTGTGACTGAATGTGCTCAGTGATATTTGCTATTGAGAGGAAGTGTGATGGAGGTAAATATTTTAAATGCGTATGTTAATGCAAGATTAAGATTGTGAGTTGTTATTTTGTGCCTAGTTATTTTACTAGATTTCTGGAAGTACTTTGGAGTTCTGACATCCCTTTGGTTAACAATTTCCAAATATGTTACAAACCTTTTCCTTAAATAAAGCAGGTATGTGATACATGGAAGCTTATAAATTCCATGTTTCTGTTAAGAACAATTAAATTTAAAGAGACAGGGTTACCTAGGCAATGAATTAGTTGAGAATGCTTGCTCTTGTTACCATGTCAGACAATTAAAATGAAGTGTCTCTGTCCAAGACAAGACCTTGAGTGGTATTAGCAAATGCTGATCTGGCTTTTCAAATCCATTGGCTTTTGCTATGCAGCCAGTAACACTCACAAATCCAGTACGTTTATTTTTCTTATGCAAGAAGAGTCAACTGGCTTATTTCTTAAAATTAAGGCCACCTAAGAATTATGACAGTTGTTAGTTTTGTGCAGCTTGTACAGCGTTGAAATACAATTCAGTTTTTAATTGTTACGTCACAAGATTATACAGTGTTATAATATCAGTTACTATGAGGAATTTGAAATGCCAGGCTGAAGCAGGATGACTGAAAACTTTTGATAATCTTATTTGTAATACATGTAATGAGTTGGGGGATGATTTATGAAAGTCTGTGCAGACCATCATTAAACTTAAGACAGAGCTTAAAATGTTGGTCTCTGCATGTGCCTTATCTGATTCAGAATTTCTTTGTTAATCACTGGCAGAGCTTAATTGATGATATTTCTGTTAAGGAAATGTTGGACTAGAAATGGAGTAAAATGTGTCAGTTTGCCTGCAGAGGTGGCCAAACCTCGTGATACCCAGCTGTGTACCAGATGTTTCCGTGGCTGAGGAACACGGTGTGCTGCAGAGGAGCCGACAGAGGTGGTGGAAGGGTTCTCTGGGCTCCTCCGTGGCTGCAGGATGGAGCTGAGCTTGGCTCAGGCTCTCGGAGGGGCACTGGCTGTGTGGCAGAACTCCCTTGGGCTCCTGGCAAAATCCAGGCTCAGGAAATAAGGCATGTGAAGTGTAACTGTAGATCCCTGTCCATGGATGGGATTCTTACCTCTGGCTGGATCCCTGGGATTATGGAAACAAGTTATCACACTTGGGCAAACCCATGAGAAGTTTGCAGTGAACCAGCTCTCTGTATTTTTAAATTAATGCCAAGATCCAACAGCTGTTGGATGTTCTTCCATTTTCCTCTTGCTAGATGAAGTAATCTAATACTGGTATTGGTGGTTGACTGCACATGAAATGAATGTACTTGTGACATGAATTCTTATTTAATTTCCTGCTTTGCATCTTTTTGTTTGAAGACACGAGAAGTAACTTGGGCATTGTGCTTCCTTCTCTGTGAATGTGATAAAACCTCTCCAAGCAATAAAGCTTTAATTCAGTACTTGTCACTCTTTAATTATGTCAGTGTATGGATGAATATGAAGAATTCACCTTTCAGGATGTTCTCAGTAAATTTCTTGTCCCAGGCAAAGTAGAAGTTGACATTATGCAAATGGTTCATTTGGTTCTGGTTACTTAAAGCAGAAATACCTCTAAGGAACAGTATCTTGAACTTGCTTGTGTCAGAACATTTTCCTGGGGAAATCCCATTTTGCAATGCCAGCTACCATGTGCAAGTTGACTTGTGATTTATTTAGGACTGCTCTTTGTATCATGCAGGGCTGGAATTCAGAAATATTTTTCTATAGTTTGTGTTAAATAAGAGGATGGATAACTTTGTTCCTTCCTAGAAACCACTTTTATGTTTAGCATAGCATTCTGTATGAAATCTATGTAGGACAGTATTTAGAAGAGTTTGATTTTTTTTTGTCCCCTCCAGCTTGTTACTAATGCTTTCTGCATTTTGGCAAAAACCAAATAAAACAAAAAAACCCAAACCCCATCCCCCCTAAAAACCCAGTGCAGGCCAACTGAAACCTGCCCCCCCGCCCCCCACCAAAACCCAGCCAAAACACTCGCAAATTATTTTTTGTTTTATTAACAAAATTAATTAGAACTCAGGTAAATTCAAGGCATACCAAAATTATTGCCAGGTCCAGCTCCCAGTCAAGCTATTAAACTACATGTTGAAAATTAAAACATCAAGGTAGAGTTGAACATTAGATTAGCTGTAGAGTTCTACTTGTTACAGAGGTGAAACCTGGTGTGTGCTGAAATTGCTTCATACTGAACATTATTTATCATTGAGTGTTGAAGTAAGCTTTTCTGCAGTCATTGTGAAAAGATGTGTTTGGATGCCTTAGTCCAGTGTTATTTAAAACAATTCAGGAACACTTCTAGTGCTCTTCTGTGTGGGATTTAGAAACAGCTTGTAACAAATTCTGCAAGTAGGTGTTTACGTTCCACTACAGTAACTACCATTACTGTCTAATGTGTTAAATGTCTGTTTAGACAGCAGAGCCTTTCATATAAACCACTGCCAATTATTAACCAGCTGACACTTCAAAAGAACATGAAAAATTTCTGGAGAATTTTTAATTTAGCTGCTGTAATATTTTCTTGGCTGCAATTGTTGAACTTGTGACAGTGATCGAGTATCTGCTGGAGCAAAAAGTCCCTGAATAGAAGCTGTTGTAACTTGAGGGGATTTATAGAAGAAAAATGGTTAAGTATTGAAATATGTTAATTAAAGGCAAAGGATGATTATTGTCTGCTTAGCAAATAGCACCTGCTCAGCTTAGGGCATGTGTTTAACAGGACATTCTGCTGTAGTCTGAGGTAGTCTGGTTTGAGGAATTTCAGTTTCTAGAGTTACATACTTCAGTACAGGATCTAACCATGTTCTCCTGAGTAAGATGTCAGGCATAATTTTGCATTAATATTTGCAAGTAAATATAGCAAAAATTGCATTCTAAGCCTCAGACACTGGGGTTTGATATGGTGGATAAAAATACATAAAGTTTTGTTGAAAATCCAGTGACCTAAAAGGCTGGGTATCAGCCCTTTGGTAGGTGACTTTCTATACAGAAAATTTTGATTCTCCAACAGTCAGTAATCACTTCTGGTTGTTAATACAGTCAAAACTGTCACCCCTTCAACTCTACTTAGTTGCAAGGGAGAAACTCCTTCAATTTTTTTCTGTCATTCTTTTGAAAAGAGTGTGGGTGTA